CATCTCCAAAGTCCTGTTGTGGGGTTTGGACCATGGCTCCAAGAGACATTTTTGTCAGTATTTGTAGGTTACACATATGTACCAAATTTCATACTAGCTGCTTTGTTTTATGGAGAGAAGTCTGATTTTGGTGCTTCACCAGCTCTTATAGGCTACTTTGATGTAGCATGTTACTCATCTGAACTGGCATTGAACTTATTACACCATGTTATATTGTGAGAGGTCAGATTTTTATGCATAGCCCACATGCTTTGAAGCAGAAAATAATTTAGATCACTTTCTATCCCTATGCCTAAAGTCTATGCATGGTGAATATGCAGTCTGTAAGTTAAGAGCTATAGGTGAAGTTAATTAAGATACAACATGAGTAAATGTGAGAAAATTGCTTGTTGACTTTGTGTTGATGGTGCAGAGCAATCAGATATATATCAAGAATTACAGAATCTATAGTTATATGTAACGCAGGAGGTCTGGAGATGCTACGTTGGTGTAGCTTCTAGGTCCTGAACGGGGGATGGAGATAGGTAGTTTCAGTGTCATGCGGGTCTCTGGGCCTTGTTGATAAGGCTGGTAGCGGATTTGAAGAAACTGTTCTGGTGGTGTGAAGTTTTGGACCTGATGGGTTGCAGCCTCCTGCCAGAGGAAAGTGTCTGAAATAGTTTGTGGCTGCGATGCGAGAGATTAGCCACAATCTTCCCTGCACGCCTCAGAGTCCTGGAGGCGTACAGATCTGACGATTGCAGCCAATCACCTTCTCTGCAGACTGGATGACACGCTGCAGTCTGCCTTTGTCCTTGGCGGTGGAAGCAGCGTACTGTGGGGTTTTGGCCCATGCTTCAAGATACATTTTTTTGTAGGTCCTGGTAGGTTACATGTGTACCTGATTTAATAATCTTCAATAAAAGCATCATTTGATGCCACAGAAAGCTTTTGATAGCTTTTGATCCCTAATGCCTTAAGTCTTAGCTCAGTCAGTTAGAAGTATGTATCAGGAAATCTGTAGGAGTTCCCTCAGATATGAAATGAGTGTAAAAAAGTTAAGTGATGGCTTTGATTCAAAATGGCTGACATCTTGCTCCATCTAGCTCCAACATACTTTTTTGTAGGTTTTTTATGCTTTTTTTTTGCATTTTGCACAATAAATAGAAAATTAAAATGAAAACAAACAATTTAAATAAAATTACAGCTGCACACATGTCTGGAATACTTAGCTTTGACTTCAGGATCTACATCTCCAACTGTTAGATAAATAGGACTTTATTGATCTCACAATGGAGAAATTAACTCTATGCATTTAACCCATCCCCTTGGCATTAAGGCATCTTTCTAAATTAGTTACAGTTAAGTCAGAT